TTTTAAAGATCTTATTTATTTATCTGACAGAGAGAGAGACAGGAGAGAGGGAACACAAGTAGGGGGAGTGGGAGAGGGAGAAGCAGGCTTCCCGCAGAGCAGGGAGCCCGATGCGGGGCTCCATCCCAGGTCCCTGGGATCATGACCTGAGCCGAAGGCAGACGCTTAACTGATTGAGCCACCCAGGCACCCCTCTTTGTGAATATTTTTTGCAAACATTTTTAATGTGGATCTTCCTAACCAATCCCCCACTTGCTTTTAGACAATTCCTTTGTCTGCAGCTTGGGGGGGCGTTTCATGTTTTTACTATGAGAAATGACAGAGGGAAGACCATCTACCATGCAGCGACTCTAAGTTCTGGCTGTAAGAGGAGTCTTCTCATTTTGTGCTCATGATGAGCTGCAACAGGGTTCCTATTGTTCCCAGTTTGCCGAGCAAGTGCCCGAGGCCAGGAGAAGTTAAATGATCTGCCTGAGTCACACAGTTCGAAAGGGGCCCAGCTGGAGAAAGAAATCTAGAATGTTCCAGTTCTGACACGTGGACTCTAATCTCTATGGGGTAGTCCAGGTTATTTCTGTAGGATAGGTTCCCAGAAGTGAAAATATTGGATCAGACGGACTTTGTTTGTTGCGGTTGCTGTCCTTAAGGCTATTGACGTATGGGCTCGCGACACTTCACACGGATGTTAAAAAGAAAACAGTGTGCACGCTGGTTCTCTCTGTGGGGTCCTCCCTCCACATGGCTGGAAGTCCGCCCTGTCCACCTGCCTTGCCCCCCAACCGCACCCCAGCAGCATCTCTCCCTCATCAGCCACTCGGCAAGCATTTACTACGTGCCTATGCATCCTGAGCACATCTGTTGGAGCTGGGGGCAGCAGGTGCTTCTCTTAGGCCTGGAGGGCTGTGTTGGGTGGGGCGTATGGGTGCCCAGGACGGTGTTCTGCTGAGCCTCTGACGGGACCTGACAGCTTCCCCGCCAGGCTTGCTCTGACACCGGGCCAACCAGCGGGGGCCTCAGCCTCTCCTTCAGTGTCGATACCTCCTCCCTTGCCATGTCCCCCAGCTCTCAAAGCTTCCAGGAATCCCACAGGCCTGGGTGACACAAGAGGACGAGTGTCCCATTTTCTCAGGCTCCAGGCACGGTGACTTCATTTTTCCTGTCCTCAGTCACCTTCGTTTCATGTCCCCTTGGCATCTTGTCTAGGCTACCCTGTCCGAGGTCCTGTCCCGTTCTGCTTGGGGCTAGCCTGAAAAGCTGCTGTCTCCCTGGGCTGGAGGAAAGCTTTTTCTTCTCCCACTCGGACACCCTCTCATCCATCCCTTATCCTTTGCAGAATGGGGGGCACAACTCAAGATGATTTTCTGGGGCACACAGGATAACTGAACTTAGTAGATGAACTTAGTATTGAATAACACTGAGCCGCGTGGTAAGAAAAATATTTAGGGGCGCCTGGTGGCTCGGTTGGGGTTTTTGGCCAGTGCGTTACAAAAGTTGTAACATATTACATTTTCTTCCCTGTATCTTGCTCCGTTCCTCAACATAGCATGGAAATCCTTCCAACTGGTGTGAGTCCAGTTCACTCTTTATAAAGGCTGCATAAGATGACATGCTGTAAATGGACCATAATTCATTCATTTTCCCCAATGAATGAGCACTCACTCTGTTTCCAGTGCTTAATTATCCAAGAAACGGCAATGAACACTTTTTTAAAAAAAGATTTTATTTATTTGGTGGGGAGGGGCAGAGGGAGGAGAGAGAATCTCAAGTAGACTCTGGGCTGAGCGCGGAGCCCGACATGGGGCTCGATCTCACGACCCTGAGATCATGACCTGAGCCGAAATCAAGCATTCGACACTTAACCGACTGAGCCACCCAGGCGCCCCTGCAATTGGTTCTAAGATATTCTCATATCTTAATGCTGTAAAGCAAATCCCCAGGAAAAGGTAAAGGTTCCTTTTCAAGTAATTTTACTGCAGCAAAATGTGAATCAATAAAGAAAATCAAAGAAAATTGTGAAGCATGGGAGCAGGCAAAGGCAGTAACACTGCTGGGGAAGCACCCATCCTACTTGGGCCCTCGGTGAACAGAGGCCTGGATGGAAGGAGGCGGGGAGGTACATTCTGCTTTTGTTCCGATAGGCACAGGTCACAGAGAACAATAGCCAGGATCCCTTCTTGGGATAGGGGACACGAAAACGCCTGTGAGCCAGAAAACAAACCCTTGAGTGTGAACAAACTGCGTTGGTGAGAGCTGGGCTTGTAGCCGGCCGTTCCTGCTCCCTCTTCCATCAGTCAGTCAATCAATAACCACTGAGGTGGGCACCCTGGGGGACACAGGGCTGGTTCAGCCTTGGGCCCTGCTCTCCAGGGTTTTCTGGTCTAGCAGAAAGCGTGTGTTCTTTCACACATGAGAAAGTGGTTTCCCAGACCCAGAGAGCCCTCCACATACACACACATGGCTGCACACACGCATACACACAAAGACACTTACACACCAATGGTCACGGCCACACACTCACACGCCCACCACAAACACACACACATACTGCGGCCGGCACCCCAGTCTCCCCCGTGCCCCAGCCCACGCACTGAAAACTACCCTGGGACACTGGGGCCGTTGCTGTGGGAACCAGGATTCTGCCACCCTACTTTGTGGGCCTCTGAATTCTCGTTCTGAATATTACATTAGCCATGGAGTCTGTGCTCTGAATTCTCAGTCCCCGCCAGGGGGTCAGGCTGGGCAGCCAACCAGGGAGTTGGTGAGGACAGGCAATTCTAGGCCTGATGACTTTCTGTCTGAGTGATGGAGTGGCCCAGATGGATGCTTGTAGGAGAGCAGTGTCTGCAGGCATGAGGGGGGGCGTGCGCGTGCGCGCGTGCACATCTGGGTGTGAGTCCCCAGTATCTGCTCAGGGGAGGCTGAGACTACGCAGCAGCATGTGTTTGTAGCTCCTAGCAGTCAGGCCAGGCCAGGCTGGGCTCCGGTAACAAGCGCAGGCTGAAATCTTCATGGTTTAACCCAATAAAGGTTCACTTTCTGGTTTGGGGGCTTTTTTGGGTTTTTGTTTGTTTGTTTGTTTTGTGGGGGGTTTTTTTTGTTTGTTTTATTTTGGGAGGGGGCACCCGGATCTGAATAAGAATATGGGTTCACTTCTTTTTTTTTTTTTTAAGATTTTATTTATTTATCTGAGAGAGAATGGGAGACAGAAAGCATGAGAGGGGGAGGATCAGAGGGAGAAGCAGGCTCCCCGCCGAGCAGGGAGCCCGATGTGGGACTCGATCCCGGGACTCCAGGATCATGACCTGAGCTGAAGGCAGTTGCTTAACCAACTGAGCCACCCAGGCACCCACGGGTTCACTTCTTACACAAAATTCTAGCGGGGTCAGCATCTGCCTCCATCTTGCAGTTGCATCAGGGCCTCAAATCCCGGCACCATAGCGAAAAAGAGATGGAGGACGCTCACTGCCTCTTATCTACGCTGGCCCGTCAGCAAGCACACGTCCTTCTTCCAGACAGCAATGGCCCAGCCTAAGTATGAGACCCTGAGTGCAGCGGAGCTCCTCTGGGAGCACCACGGTCTCCGCCTCAGCCCTCCTTTTGTGCTTCTGCCAGCAGGAATATTCCCGCCCGGCAAGGAGCTGATTCCGCGCAGACAGTTCAAATCCAGGTCCTGCTTCTTGCTGAGCTGGGTGGCCTCAGGCCATGGGTCAGTCAGGGACCCAACAGGAAATGGGTGGCACTATCAAAACAGGAGCGTTTGAAGGGGCTTATTTACAAAGGGCAAGGTAAGCAAGACCTGGAAGCCGAGGAGCTGTTGCCACCCCGGGGGCCCAAGGAGGCAAGGGCAGGGAGTGGTCAGTGAGACCAGAGGAGAGAGTCAAGGAGAGGAGGGATCACCTTCAGGTGGGGGAGCTCACAGAAAAGGAGAATAAACACCACCTCTCCACTCTCCTCCCTCCCTCCCTCCTATGTCTGCTGTGGCTCCCTATTGGCTGAGCCAGGCAGAAGCTGAAGGCCCCAGGAAGTTGCTGATTTATTCCCAACAAATCAGCCCATCAGGGCCGAGCAGACAGCGGCTCTGGAGGGATGAAGGGGCATCACCTGGCACAAGAGATGGATTTCTATCTCTGGGCCCCGCTTTCTGAGTTTGTAAAAAGTGAATGTTCATATCTACCTCCCGGCGTGGTTGAAGGGAAAAGGAATAATGCATGTGAATAATAAGTGCTAACCTATGTCCGGCCCTCGGCAAATGGGAGTTTTTCAGTATCTGAAAGCTTTACAGTTGGATGGTCCCACCCCACGATGCACCAATCACCCTAAAGTCTGGTATGAATTTCTTTTTTTGTTTCTTTTAAGATTTTATTTATTTATTTGAGAGAGAAAGCACAGAGGGAGAGTGTGAGGGAGAAGCAGGCTCCCCACGGAGCAGAGAGCCCAATGCGGGGCTCGATCCCAGGACCCTGGGATCATGACCCAAACCGAAGGCAGACGCTTAACCATCTGAGCCACCCAGGCACCCCCGGTATGAATTTCTCAAACAGATTTTCCAAACGAAAATGTTTTTCCTAACAATAACTCCCATTTTTGAGCTTTTTCTGTATGTCAAGTATGGTACAGACATTGACTCCTCTTTGCACAACACAACCCCTAGGTGCTGTGGCCAATAAATTGGGACTCTGGCCAAGAGAGGCTGGTAACTCATCCACAGTCACTGAGCCATTAGTAGGTCGGGCCCCAAAGCCCACAGTTGTTCCTCCCTGCTCTACTCTGATTTCTGAGTGTGTTTGTACAATTCAAAGACGAAGCAGAAGATGTTGCAGCAACAGAGCTTGAGAATTTCCCTACCCTCAATGAGGCAACCCTGCCCAAGGCCCAGGACCGTGGTCTTTCAAAGTCCCCATGTAGCCCCAGCTCCAGAAAGTGGCCCCTGACCTTCAAGGCACCTCTGTGCCTCTACCTCTGAGCTCGCTCACCCACCGGCTGCTGCTGGTTGATTCCAGGTCACCCGGCTCTAACTCCATCTGACCAGCCCAACACCAGCAGTGCAGAGAGCCTGCCCTTTGAGCCAGGTGAGGAAAGAATCCCTCTGGGGGCCCACAGCCTGCTCTCTGACACCAGGTAGGCGGTGTCCCGGGTGATGGGGAAGGAAAACGGACTTTTAGGGTGTCAGGGAGGCTCCCTAACTTCAGACAACACTTCTTCCTGGCTCAATGCCCGAAGGGCCACCATTCCATCCACTCTGAGAGCTTAGAACTACCATCTTCAAAAGGCCACTGATCAAATGTCACGTACGTGTGGGCAAAATGATCAGTGAGCATTTTAATGGGATTTGTTGAGAACGAACTAACGGACTCTTGGTGGGGGTGGTGGGGTTCCATCAAGTGGGTCCTTGATTAACTCAACAGGTATTTATTGAGCAGCTCCTCTGTGCAAAGCTGTGTGCCACCCTGGGGGTGCAGTCCCAGGCAAAAATGGGCAGGTGGCTCCCCAAGGAGGGCGTCTGGGGAAGGGAGAACCACCATCCCAAGCAGCCTGGCTTCAACCCCATCACCAACCCTGTATCCATCCCCCAGGGCTTCAAGGTCATGGTGGCACCCTCCAGAACAGCAGAGGGGCCTAGGAGGGGGAGGCGTGGCACCCACAGTACCAAGGAGGGCCCCCGAACCCAGAACTCTGCCCTTCTTTCATGCAAGGGTACCCTGGAGATAGAGGCAAGAGAGGGAGGTTTGTGGGGACTGGACCCCTGGTTCTCTGTCACCCCACACCTAATGAAGGCACCCTAACCTCTACAGTCACCCTCAGCCCCCTTCTCCGGATGCTAGGGAGAGTCAGGCCTCAAAGGGGCCTTGGGGATGGACCAGCCCAGCCCCATTTTGCAGATTGGAAGGCTGAGGCCCAGGGCCCAGTGGGATATTGTCCAAGATAACCGGGTGGAGCCCCTGGCAGCCCTCATCCCCACCCCCATCCCTGAGACCTGCCGCCCCGGTGGGCGGAGGCCTCAGTGGGCGTCTGGCTCTTCCAGGACAGCGGCTGGGGGTCCGTCTGGTGAACGGGAGCAGCCGCTGCAGTGGGGCGGTGGAGGTCTGGCTCGGGCTGTCCTGGGAGCCGGCCTGCGGGGCACTCTGGGACAGCCTGGCCTCCGAGGCCGTGTGTGGCGCGCTGGGCTGCGGCGGGGCCTGGGAAGCCACCCAGCTCACCTTGCCGTCCCTGGAGCTGACGCCTGGGCCCGGCGCCCGGAACACCAGTGAAGCCACCAACGCCACGCTGGCCCTGGCGCCCACCGTCCTGTGCAGAAGTGCCGAGTGGCAGCTCTGCAAAGTGGTGGAGCACGCGTGCGACACCAACGGGAGGCCGGCCAAGGTCACCTGCGCAGGTACGAGCAGACCACCCCCTGCGCCCTGCCTGCCCTAACTTCAGGCTTTCAGCCATTGCCCCTCACTCCTGTCCCCAGTCCTCGCCACCGGACCCAAGCCTTACCCTCCAGACTTCCCCCCGCCCTCCACCCCACCCCCATCACAAACACAGCTGGTTCCCACGTGCAGCACTGCCTCATTTCCAGCTCTGAGCACGTCCTCTGATCTGGCCCCCACACCTCTCCCCCTACTAGATCTCCAGTTTGACCACTTGGGTCCCCAATCCTAACTGGGTCTCGGCACTTACTGACGGGTCCCGCGCCTTCTCTCGCTTAAGACCTCTATCTCTGCCCCTACCCGCCATGTACATAAATATGCCAGGCTCCCCAGTGTCCCTTAGCATTGTCACTTTCCAACCCCCACCTGCTCTTCAGGCCCCGCCCACCAGGCCTCTAGCCCCACCCACCAGTCTGCAGCGCTTCCCCCCCACCCCCCAGCCCTGAAGCTTCCCCTGGCCCGCCCACCAGGTTACTAGCCCCTCCCACCGGCTCCATAGCCCGCCCCTCCCCCCCCAAGTCTCCCGCCCCGCCTGCAGGTCCCTAGTCCTGATGAGTCCCCCACATCTGCTCACTAGGGCCCCAGTCCTAACAGGGTTCCCCAGTCCTGCCCACCGAATTACCAGCTCCTCTCACTGGGTCCGGAGCGCCCACCACCCTCCCAGCCCTGCCTTCCTCGAGCACCCACCAAGCACCCACCAACGCTTTCCCCTCCTTCCGCAGAGAACCGCGACGTGCGGCTGGTGGGCAGCAGTAGTCGGTGCGCAGGCCGCGTGGAGATGCTAGAGCAAGGCCGGTGGGGTTCGGTGTGCGACGACACGTGGGACCTGGAGGATTCGCACGTGGTGTGCCGGCAGCTGAACTGCGGCTGGGCGGTTCAGGCCCTGCCCGGCTTGCACTTCGCCCCTGGCCAAGGACCCATCCACCGGGACCAGGTGAACTGCTCAGGGGACGAGACCTACCTGTGGGACTGCCCGGGGCTGCCAGGAGACGGGTACTGCGGCCACAAGGAGGACGCCGGCGTGGTGTGCTCAGGTCAGCAGGCGGCGGTGGAACCGGTCAGCCACCAGTCCTTACCGTGCCCGGGTGCGGGGAGGGATGGCCCCGGCTGGTGCGAGGTCAAGTCCACCAGGGAAGGTAAGACCCAGGCAAGCGCCATCTGGGGGAGAGAGTGATAAACGCCCTAGGAAAGGGGTTGAGTGGTAGCGGGCAATCCAGAGGGGGAGGGACAAGCCTGCCCACCTCCTGGAGGAAACCACATTGGAGGGGAGACTCTTCCCCAGTGTGAGTTGGTCACCTGGTTCAGAGCAGCAAGGAGAGACAGAGGCAGGGAGGCCCCTGAGGAGGCTGTCAGCAGTCCGGAGGAGGCCATGAAGTTCTGGTCCAGCCAGGGCTTCTCCGTATTGTGCACAGGAATGGCCGGGGGCGGGGCGGGGGGGGGGGCGGGGGGGGGGGCGGTTCTCGATAAAGATAGATTCTGATTCAGTAGGTCTGGGCAGAGCTTGAGATTCTGCATTTCTAACAAGATTCCATGCCAAGCTGATGCTGCAGGTCCGCGGACCACACTTTGAGTAGCAGGCATGCAGTGCCAGCCGGAGCAGATGAAGCAGATGAGAAGGGGATGCAGACATAGGAGGGAAAGCACACAGGATCTGGAGACCGATGGGCTGTAGGGTGTTTGCATTCATGAGTCTGGTCTGGTGGGGGTTTCAGCCCAAAGGATCCTGATCTGACTCTGCCCCCGCGCCCCCCCTCTCCCCTGCAGAGCACCAGTCCTGGCGCCTGACTGGGGGCCGTGACCCCTGCGAGGGGCAGGTGGAGGTCCATTTCCGTGGGGTCTGGAGCACAGTGTGTAACAGTGAGTGGTACGCGCCGGAGGCCCGTGTGCTCTGCCAGGCCTTGGGCTGTGGGACCATGGTCAGAATACCGGGCGGGCTGCCCCACTCCCTGCCGGGCAGAATGTACTACTCGTGCACAGGAGAGGAGCCCACCCTCTCCGACTGTGCCTGGCGGTTCAACAACTCCAACCTCTGCAGCCAGTCGAGCGCAGCCCAAGTCCTCTGCTCAGGTATCCCTCCTCCCCACCCCTACCTCACCCTCTCCCCCAGATTTGCACTAGGAATTCCACCTGAATCCGAAGCCTAAGAACTTGGACTAGGTCAGGGATGACAATTGCTGACATTAGAGTCACTTACCATGTCCGGAAGCCAGGGCTAATTAATCAGGGCATTCTTGCCCACAGAGCCTCAACTCAGCCCCCACATATGTATTAAGGCCTTATTATATGCTAAGCAGGGATCCCTGTTGACTGGAATTGGCTCAGGAGGTGAAACCAGCTGCCATCCCAGGGCTGGTGATCATAGGTGGTCATAGCGAAATGATATTGGGAGACAGGGTCTGGAGCCCCGATCATGTGGCAGGCACTGGGGAGCAACTGATACCTCTTTTTTTCAGCTAAGCCTCATGTCCATGCTATGAATTGGATTCTGCCATATTTCACCAAATCTCAGGTGGCATCGAGATGTCACCCTATTATTATTTTATGTCCCATAAAGGACAAAACTGCTGCCAAAATAAGCTCACAACATGTCATCAATTGTAGCAATTGATGCCATCACCCCAATTTCAGAGGAGTTAAAATGTGAAAAAGCCAGAGCATTAGACCCAAAGAAACATGGTATTAATATCCCTATTGGGTTCAGGCACCTGGCAATGAACTCCAGCTCTGGGGCTCACCCACTGGGAGGCTTCAGTTCCACGAATATGTGGATGCTGATCCTAACCACTTCACAGGGTAGCTGGGAAATCAGGTAATATCCACCAAGGGGCTTTGTAAGCTCCATCCCTTCCTTACCTGTCAAATGACTATGATAATGATCATCATGTCAGCTTCCCAGCTCCCAAGACCAATGTGAAGAGTGAACCCAAGACTTTTTTTTTTTAAGGTTTTATTTATTTATTTGACAGAGAGAGAGAAAGAGAGAGAGCACAAGCAGGGGGAGTAGGAGAGGGAGAAGCAGGCTTCCCGCTGAGCAGGGAGCCCAGTGTGGGGCTCGATCCCAGGACCCCGGAATCATGACCTGGGCCGAAGGCAGACGCTTAACGACTGAGCCACCCAGGCGCCCAGAGTGAACCCAAGACTTAACAGAGAAAGGGATCTGTGGTCTGTAGCAGATTTTTACAGAAAGAAGGGATACTTCTTTTTATTAGCCTCTTATTCTAACCAAAGAAGATCCATGAGATCTTCCTTATTGTGAGGGGTGGAAAAGGCAGGTTTCCTTAACCATATGCCCCGCCCCCCACTTCCCTTGGGACCACGCCCCTCACTACAGGTTACTTGTCTGTCTGCTTCGGTGTCTAACCCAAGGACTGGCACACAGTAGGTGCTCAGTAATGTGTTGAGGGCATGTACGGTGTTTTCTGACAGGCTCCCGGAGTCTGCTCAATCTGTCCACTCCTGAAGTCCCTGCAAGTGTTCAGCCGGTCACTGTAGGTGAGTGTCACTTGGTTCACGGTTTCTCAGAGCGGTGGGTGCACGTGCGCAGGGGGTGCGTGAACGCGTGTGTGCACCTGGGAGGGGCCCGATGGGTCATCCCCCATCCCCCACCTCCAGACAATGCTCTTGCCTCTCCCTCCGCCCCCACCCCGCCCCACCGCTCTGTTCTGGGGGTGCTTTTGTTCCTCTCCCCTCCCCTCCCTGCCATGTCAGCTCCCCAGCTCCCCGAATCCTGGTACTTCATGGACAGGAGCCCACTCTCCCGTCAGCTCCTGTCGGGCAGGAGGATAGAGCTAGAGAGAGCCCGCGCTGGTCCGGTAGGCCTCCGGCCGGTGGTAGGTGTACCAAGGGTGACAGTGTGTTTCTCACACCCTGGGCACTGTCCCAGAGCTCTACCAAAACTCTTTCCCGGCCCTGTAAGCCTCCCGGTATCCCCATGGGGGGGAGGTCTCCTTAGCCGTGCTGGTCTGCCTGCCAGCTATGGATCGTTTGGCTGACTCCAGGAAGACTCCCGAGGCTCAGATCCCAGCTGTGCCTCCCACCAGCTGTGAATGGTGGGCGAGTCTGAACCTCTCTGAGCCTCAGACCCCTTGGCTGTAAAATGGGGGAGATAATCATGATAACTTTCTCTAGCGTTGCTGTGAGTCTCCAGTGAGTTAATTTTTCCAAAGCCCTTGGAACAGGGCAGAGTCCACAGTGAGCAGTGTCTGAGTGTTAGTTATTCTTGTGATTATTGAGTCCAGGCGTGGAGCCCCTTGGCAACCCCAAGATAGCCACAGGGGCTGGCCCAGGTTCACGGCCTCTAGGCCGTCCCCTGCTTCCACCAGAGGAGGGTGGGCAGGGGCTTGGGGATGGAGTGGAGGGGCACCAAGTCCTGACAGAGAACCTGGCCGTGGAGGAGGGCACGGAGGGCACGGAGAGGGAATGAAAGGCTGGGAATGAAATGCTGGTGAGCTCCAGCCAAGACCCTAGACACCCACTCGCATGCTCTCTCTCTCTCTCTGAGGTCAGGGCCGGGACCCCACCTCCCAGGACCACACTCTAGCCCTTGGCCCAACAACCCGGCCCTCAGCCCCTGTCCCTCTGGGCCCGAATTCACTGGTCTCCCCATACCCCCCACAGCCCAGCCTCGCTCTTGCACTCACTTCCTGCTGCTAAGCCCAATTCCCAGGCTGGTCCAAGTCACCCCCTTTGCAGATGGAGGAGAAGGAAGAAAATGAGAACAGGGAAGGGGTGATCTCTGGGGGTGGGGAGCAGACACTATCCGCAGCCAGGGGATTAGGATGGTCACATCCCTCCGCCCCCTGTAAAGCTGTCACTACCCTTCATCCAGCCCTGTGGCCTACGCACCCCGGACCTTATACACTGAGCAGGAGGTGGTTCCCGTCTCCCCTGGGACGAGGGCTCCCAGCACCTGCCCCACTTCAACCTCTCTCCAGGTTTGGGGTTCTTTTAAGCAGGGGTGGGGTCGAGAGAGAAGACGGTAAGCCATACCAGGGCTGCAGGGCTGGGAGGTCCAAAATCACGGCCCTCACCCCTACCCTCAGGGAATGCATGTCTGGTAGGAAGGATGCATCCAGGGCACAGAAAGGAGATCTTGCTCTCCGATGGCCCATTCGCCGCCAGGCAGCTCCAAGTCCCCTTCTCTGGGAAGCCAGCCTTGGTCTTCCACCCCAGAGAATTAGGTGCCCCTTGTAGGGCCTCATGCCTGCCCATACGTCCATCCCAGCAAGCATGGCACCGTATTGGATCGAGCCAGCGTATGGATCTCTCCACGAGACAGCGCCCTCAAGGCCTGTGATCCTGAGGTCATATTCGTATCCCTAGGGCTTAGTGGGCACGCAGTGGGCACTCAATAATTGTTGAGCAGAGAGAGAGAGATCCCTGTGGGCTGGTGGCCAGGGGAAAGTTTCCTTCAGTCAGTTATTCATTCAATATGGATTTCTTGAGCCCCTACTAAATACAAGGCACCTAAAAGCAAATGGGTAAATTCGAAAAAAAGAAGAGGGGAGGAGGATAGGTCCAAAAGGGAAGAGGGTGAGCGCAGAGAGGCTGGAGAGGCAAGAAGGGCCAGGAGAAGTCTATGTCCATTCCTCTTTCTCCTTGATTTGGGGTTCTTGCTTCTAGAATCTTCTGTGACCATGAAAACGGAGGACTGGAAATCACGGGAACTAATGCTCCTCATCTTGTGCGTCATTCTGGGGATTCTCCTCCTTGGCTTACTCATCTTCATAGCCTTCATCCTCTTGAAAGTTAAAGGAAAATACGGTAGGTACAGAGTTCTGGGAGCCACAGGAAAGGCTCAGAGAGGGAAAGAAGCAGGCCTGAGGTGTGACCCTCTCAGGGGGATGTGGGCCTTGCGGGACTCCAGCAGGAGTGGCAGTGATCCGGCAGTGGCCACCCAGCCCTGGCCCCGGGGGGCACCTCCCGATGGGAAGGATTTTCCCAGCATGCCCAGCGGAAGTGGTCCATGTATGGAAGGACCGACCAGACTATATGTGTACGCGCATGTGCGTTTGAGGAGGAAGGTGTTTCAATGAGAATAGGACCAAGTAGACTGGGAGAGAGTAAAAAATGACTTGTAGGATCTCTGCCTCCCCTCCCTCAGCCCTCCCTGTGACGGTGAACAACCAGCACCCACTCACCACCACCCAAGAAGGGATCAATAGCTATCAAGATGTTCCCATCACCATTCCCAAAGAAGGTAGGATGTCCCCCACCCTGGGGGTGGGGAGGGCTGAGGAGGACAGGAAGGGTATCCTTTCTGGAGGGTCAGTACTGCTTAGGTCAAAGCAGTGCCCCCACTGGAAAGGAGACCTCAGCGAGCCCATTGGGGCCTGTGGGACCTTGAGCATGTCATGTCTCAATCTGGGCCCTGATGGGCAGATGACCTTCCAGGGTAGTCATTCTCTAGGCTTTGGAGTTCTGGAATAAGACAGGCTCAGCGCATTTCTCAGAGGACAGTTCTGCCCTGCTACTTGGTTGGTAGGTCTGGGATAATATGGCCTCTTCCAATGGTCTGCTCCATCAGCCTTCCTGCAGAGCCCCATCAAGATTTTCCTGGAACATAATTTTATTTAATATTTTCTGAATGAAAGAAAAATGGAAATCAGTCATCCATCTTTTACAACATATGGGTTTATACTCCTTGAAAGTCTTATAAAGGAACTCAAGCTTAATCACATTGCATTGGGACTGTATTAAATCACCCTTATTTGAAAGCATTCAATGACAGGAAAATCAATACAAATCTCAGCCAAATAATATAAATATTCCCGGTGCACAGAATCCATGTGTTCAAGGGAGGAATATGAATACAGAACCTAGCCCACAGGTTAGGCTCCGGGCATTTGCTCACTGACTATTACGGGCTAAGGGTTAAGAGCCACACTGCCTGCTTCTCTGGGCAAGGTGAGGACCTCCCTGTGCCTTAGTTCCTTCGGCTGTAAAATGGGGACACGGATGCACCTACCTCACAGAGTTGCTACGAGAATCCCAATGAGATCGTTTATTTAAATGTCCGAACAGCGCTGGGCATGCGGTGACTGCTCTGTGTTTGTGAAATAAACAAATGTTATTAGGTCCCCATGTTTGAAATGGGTGGGGGGAGCTTGGAAAACCCGGGCTGGATGGTCTTGTACAAGACGGGCTACCTGGTCCTCTCCCTGACCCTCTGTCTCTGGCCCCCACCCTCCATACTCTCTGCTCCCTTTCTGCCCACCACCTGGCCACGCCCCAACTCTGCTCTCTCCCCAGTTCCCAAGCTGCCCATCCAGGTCCAGGCCCCACTCCCCAAGGACTCGGACTCCAGCTCGGACTCAGACTATGAGCACTATGACTTCAGCGCCCAGCCTCCCGTGGCCCTGACCACCTTCTACAGTGAGTGCCTGGGCCTGGGCTCCCCGGGGGCCCACCTGACCCAACCAGGGAGAGGGCCCTGGTGGCTGGGGAGCTTCAGTGGGTTCCACCTGATCACCCCTGCACACCCACTGGACTGACTGGAAATGGTCCTGCCCTGAAGCTTTCAAAGTGCTTTGTGACCCCAGAGACAACTCCATGTCTCCAGCCTCCTTCTTTCCCACCTTTGTCTCTGGCCGTGTGGGGTCTTAAGACCCGCCCCTCGACCTTCACCTAAAGGTGTGTGTGTTAGACAAGGAAGTCCGGGCAAGAGACATGCTCGGATGGCTTCTCACACGCTCACACCCCTTCTGTGTCCCATCCTGCCGGTCCACCTCACCCCTTCCTCTCCCTTCATGGCGAGCCCAGCTTGACCCTCTTAGCCGGCTTTTCCAGCTCCCCTCCCTGCCTGCTGGGGATAGGAGGGGGGAAGACAGTGCTTAAGGCAGGGCCCACACAAGACTGGAGGTTAGGCCAGAGAATCCCACACCTACTGTGGACTCCCTTAGGAGCTTGTCCAACACTCCCCAGCTCCCCCCAGGACCCACCACGTAAGTTAGGATGAGAGTTTGACTGTGTGTGACCGAGGCCCCCAAACGACGGTGTCCTAAGTAGTTGGCAGGGGCCCAGGACGCTGCTTTCTTGTTGCTGTGCAGTCCCTAAGATGTTGCCCTCGTCCACATGCTCCAGCCTGGCTCACTACCATGCCCACATGCTGGGCAGCAGGAGGGGAAGGGAAGGTGGGGCAGGCGGTACCCTGAAAGGCAGGATGCTGGAGACGCCCACATCACTCCCGCTCACAGCCACACACACACACACACACACACACACACACACACACACACCGGCCAGAACTTAAGCCCATCAGCTGCAAGAGAGGCCAGCAGACGAAGCCTCTGTCCTGAGCAGCTGTGTGTCCAGATAAAGGCCAGAGGGTCTCCTACTCCAGGAGGGGAGAATGGATATGGGGGACAGCTAGCCGTCTGTGCCCCACCTGCTGAGCCAAGGCCTCTGGGGTGGGCGACGGGTGATTCCACTTCTGCCATGCCACACACCAGCCTTTGGGAGCCACCGGGATGCGGCATCCCTAGAACCTGAGGTTCTGCACCCAGGCCTGTAAGAGGCAGGACTGAGAGTCCAAAACCCTAAGACATTTTGTGACTCAGATTCAGTGGTACCAGGTTCGAGAGAGCAGAGTCCACGATCCCAGACGCTCAAGTCCTTAAGACTCAACAAATCCATGTCATCTCTCCAGTTTCGAAGCGAAGGTGCCCCAGAGCCTGCGAGGCAAGGATTCCAGACCTTCCAGCTTCCTCTCTGAGAAGGTTCCTAGATGGGGAACCATCCCCCAGAACCTCCAGGGCCCAAGGAGAGAGGCCAGGACTTGCCCCATTTCCTTAAGCAGAAGGAGGGGTGGCTGGGGAGCAGCAAGGTGCAAGGCACTAGGGCTTCTGGCCAGAAGCAGCCTGATCCCGAACTGGTTAGAGAGTGAGGCTCAGGGTCTGGCTGGACTAGGACAAGCACCTGGGATCTGATGGGAAATGCTAAGACCCTCTGTACACCTGGGGTGGTTCTCCCACACTGTTCAGCCTCAGGGCACCCTCCCAAGTCCCAAGGCACAGTGGCCCTTCCTCCGGGCTCCCGGGACGAGGAGGTGGACCTGCACCCCTCCTCACCACCGCCCTGCTTATAGATTCTCAGCGGCACCGCGTCACGGATGAGGAGGTCCGGCAGAACAGGTTCCAGATGCCCCCCCTGGAGGAAGGTGAGTCAGGCTGGGGAGGCACGTGGTGGCAGTGATAACGATATCAGCCCTGACTCCAGACTTAGCAACTCAGCCCACCCTGAGAAATGCGGGCAGCAACCCCCCTCAACAGGTCCTTCCTGATTTGAACAGTTCCTCTTGGCAGTTAGTTCTTTCTTGAGTCTCATTTAAAGCCCTCTTGGTGTATTGCTGCGTCTTTCCTCACTGTACCCCCTTTCCTGGGCCAGGACTTGAAGAGACGCATGCTTCCCAGATCCCACCTGTCAGCGCTGGGCATTACACGGCGGACGCCCCCTCCCTGGGCTCTCAGAACCACCCCAGGAGCAACAGTGGGTCCAGCACCTCCTCTGGGGAAGATTACTGCAATAGCCCCAGAAGCAAGCTACCTCCGTGGACCCCTCAGGTGTTTTCTACAGAGAGGAGCCCCCTCTTGGAGCTGGATGGCTCCCAAGGTACTTTTTCAGGTAAGCGGGGCCCAGGAGGATTCCGCGTGTGCCCCAGACTCCCATCCTACAGCCGACCTGGCTGGGGGAAGCATAAAGCCGGAAGCCCTGAGCCAAGCTGAGTTGAGGATTCTAGCCCCAGCTCTGTGGCCACTTGCTGTGTGCCCTGGGACAAGTCTCCACCCCTCTCTGGGCCTTCATTTCCTCATTCATGGTCAAGCCAGGAACTTGACTCTCGTGAGTCATGAGGGCCTCCCAGCTCTGGCATCTCTCGAGCTGGCTGTCTCCAGGCAGAGAGTGATTGGCTCTGGGTGTTTCCAGCAGGGCCCTCGGCCGATGACAGCTCTAGCACCTCATCCGGGGAGTGGTACCAGAACTTCCAGCCGCCGCCCCAGCCCCCCTCGATGGAGCAGTTTGAGTGTCCAGGTGCCAGTGGCAGGGGAGGTGGTCCTGGAAGGGGGGGGAAGGACAGGAAGCAGGGGGTGGATGAGTGGGGGAACTCTGGATCCATTGGATTCATTAGCCCAAGAGGAAAAGAAGAGAAGGAAAGGGATTTTTTTTAAACAAACAAGAACATGAGGAGGTCGGAAAAATGGATGCGGATGGGACAGAGAAAGTTCCAAAGAATGCCTTGAGAGGGAGTGAGCTCCCCATTAGTGGAGGCATTCAAGCAGAGGTAGCTGATGTCCCCTTGGGGGAGACTGTGGTAGCGGGGGGGTGCCAGCAGTCAAGTCGCCCATCATTTCCTGTGCAAGCATGGAGACTACAGCCCTAAACCGCACAGATGAGTCTCTGCCTTCTGGGCTGACATTCTAGCAAGGGCGATGGTGGTGAACAAGACGACGTGAAGGGAATCTGGTCACTGCACCCCACACAGCTTCACAGGGGAGGGGTGTGTCCCATGGGGCAGGAGGGGCGGTGATCAGTCTCCCGCTGACCCGAGCCTCCTGCCACACAGGGTCCCCCACCCGGCAGCCTGATTCCCTTGACAGCGAGGACTACGATGACATCGGAGCAGCCTAGGCTGGGCCCAGCGAGGCCCCAGGCGGCTCCTTTCTGCTGGTCTCCTGCTCTCCCTGCCCACTGCTCTCCCACCCCGCCCTCCCACATCCTCCCCCAGGTGGCTGACAGGCCTTCCCTGGAGAGATGCGGGGGAAAGCCCTCACCCTGCACTCACCGCTCAGTCTCCATCCTTCAGAGAGAGCCTGCTGGCACAGCCCTCCCTCAGCCCCAAACAGCCCCAAGGTGGAGGGCCCTGCCTCTGAGAGGTAGTGAGCTCTCGGGCTCAGGGATGGGCAAGCAGCCTGGGCCACGTTTCAGCAGGCTGCAAGGAGGGGTTGAACGGAATGCGTCCTAAGGCCCCTTCTGTGCTTTGGTTCCCTGAGTCTCAGCTCAGGGCCCGGAGGTACTGAGAGAGCAGAAAGGGGCCCCATCCCAGTGCTGCCCACGTGTAGGGGCTGCTGAGCTGCTGTGGCTTTGACAGGTGGATTCTGGGGCTGGGGGTGACACACCCACCGACCCAGGTTGGCGACCACCCGGGCACAGAGTCCAGCCTTCCTAGGAACAGCCAGCTGACAGCAAGCAGGACGACTGCCCCTCCCCCACGACCGAGGGGCTGGGGCCTCGGCCAGCGCTGCCTCTAGAGACCCTGGAGCCCACCAGGGCACAGCCCTGTTCTGCAGGGACTGTCCCTGGACAGAAGATCCTTATTCTGAGCTTCCTATGGCTTACAAAGATGGCCCTAGCCCAGCTTCCCCAAAGACTCAGAGTTGGGCCCCAGGCCCCGTGGGAGCAGACGTGTGCACAGAGATGTCTGCCGGGAGGGGCCCAGAGGCTGCACTAAGCCCTGCGTGCCCATCTGTCTGCTTGGATTGCTGGGAGCTTCCCTGAGGAGCACATGAATATGCGGCGTGTCACCCGGAGCCACGGACACGTCCAGGTGGCCTCCAGAGAGAGGCCAGAGGGCTCGGAGCCAGCTACTGGTGTCCTGGTCTGAGTGTCCTGAGATTAAAGTAATTGCTGAATAAAATCGGGGCATAGAGTGACAAGTCCTTGAGCTTTTACAGTGCCCAGCCTCTATGTGTGTGTGTGTGTGTGTGTGTGTGTGTGTGTGTGTGTTGGGTGGGGGCAGCTCTATCCATCAAGGTGGAAATGTTGGGGACCTGGAAACCTCCCGTGGCCCGGCGCCATGAAAAATGCTGGGGACACAGGAAAAGGAAGGCAGGGCCTGCCCTCCCGGAGAAGGTGGACCCAGACATGCCTGTGAGCTTAGCGGCCCGCTTCCCTCTCTTCTCGGCCCCACTCAGGCCCTGGCTCAGTGGCTCCCAAGAGTTTCGGAGGAAGGGCAACGCGGGGGGCTTTTATGCTCCGAGCCACCTGGAGAAGAATTGGCTCCAGGCCGGGAGGGAAGGGCTGGAGTTGAGGTGTACATACAGTGGGGAGGGGTTGTGGTTGTGTCCTCGCATCTGCTCAGAGGCTGGGATTTTCGCCCAGCTGCCAAGGCCAATGGACAGCTCTGCCTTCTGGGTGAGGGCTGGGGTGCGGGGTTCCTCAGAGCAGGCAGGTGTTGGAGGAGGCTGGGCTGTGGATCCTGACCTGCGGGGCTGAGTAGGGCCTGTTTTCCGTTCACCTGTCCCAGGGGGGGAGACTCAAGCTAGCACTCCCCAGGGCAACCGTCACAGGATGTGGTTGCTGGTGACAGCCCCCTTCGGGCCCTCTGCGCCCTCCCCAGCCAGCGGGGGGATTCCTAGGGGAGGAGCCAGGGCTGGGGTGGGCCGGGACAGAGGCCCGGGGTGGTTTGTGCAAGCCTTTTTTGTCCGACAGCCTGGGTTCAAATCCTGTCTCCTCCCCGTGGGGCCATTGGCAAGCCCCTGGACGTCTCCGAGCCTTTGCCGTGAGGCTCGTCTGCGAGGCGGGCACGGAGCTATCACAGGCCACACAGTGGCTGCAGGGGTCGGAGGCTTAGCTGGAAGTGTTCCCTCTCCGTAGAGGCGAGAGACCTCGTGCAAGGGAGACAGGGGAGGAGAAGGGAGGACAGCCAGCGATCCCCGGGGTCGCCATACACTGGTGCTGGTGGAGGCTTGGGGAGCGTCTTGTCCCCACTCTCACTCGCCAGATGAGGACGCTGAGCCCCGGGGGTGGGGGGCAAAGGACTTGTCCAAGGTCACTCAGAGTTAATAGCCGAGTTGCAATTCAGCCCTCCCCCTCCTCCCCGGCCCCCGGGGGCTCAGACAGGGAGATGGTGACACCCTCTGGGCTCTCTCTCATCTCTCACTCGAACCACCTCCCCATCCCGGGCCCCCTCTCCACCCACCCACACACCAGTCTGAGAGAAATTGGGAAACTCTGACACGTGTCTCCCTTGCCCCCTTGCAACCTGGCGACACCAGGATCACACAAGTCAGGAGGGGCTTTCTGACCGCTACTGCCCAGGGCCAGTCTCCCCCAGATGGTGACAGGGGCTGCGCACAGACAGGGCCTTTCCTGGCCATCTCTATGCCTCCAGGGCCCTCAGCCATTGCTAATGGAACCAGACTCGGTGCTGGAGGTGGAGAGGCAGAGATCAAGGACATGGGGCTTTGATCTGAAGGAGGGAGGGAACGGGAGCCTGGCAGGGAAGTCCCAAACATAAGCAGGTGCGCTCACCCTCCACTCTTAACCAGGCATCAGAATTAGCCTCCAGGATCTGGGAGAGCAAACACCAAGATGTTAAATGGATGTGGCAGCTGAATCGATTTCAGGAACATCGATGTGCAGGGAGGGGCTGCATCTGAGCACAGAGGCACTGCGGGAATTTTATGGCTCTGCAAGCCAGTGAGGGAATGAGCACAGCCCAGGAGAGCCCCTGACCCAGCTGGAGAGAGGCCATCCGGAAAGACCTTTTGGTGGGGGGCGGGGATGAGTTGGGTTGTAAAGGATGAGTAGGGTTGTAAAGGATGCCTGAGTTGGGTTGTAAAGGATGAGTAGGAGTTTGCTATCTAGGAGCAGAGAGGAAGGGGCATTCCAAGTTGATGGGATGGCATGAGCAAAGACAGCACAAGAAACCAGGTAGCTCACAGGGTAAAGGGTGGTCCAGCCTGATAAGAGAAGAGGCTGAGGACAGTCAGTTCTCATACCGGCTCTATTTTGTAAGTAAGAAAATGGAGGCTCAGAGAGGTTAAGTAAAATGCCCAAGTCGCCAAGCTAAAAAGCAGTAGCTTTTACGTGCTGTCTAGCTTCAGAGTCTGAGCATTAGCCGTGGCGCTTCCAGTGGAAACCTGTTCCTGTCCCTGTGCCCACTGGAGCCCCACTGCTGGACACAGCCAGAGCCCCAGCCTAACTCTGAGACTGGAGACGCCAGCCTTGTCTGCCCACCGACAGCACAGGCACCTACTGGGTATGGGGATTCCGGGCTCAGGGATGGAGACTGACTCACTGTCTGGGCACCTATCTGGAACCATGCTCTCTGCTGGCCCTGGAGCCCTTCACTTGGGGAAACGCACACAGATACCAGCAACTGCGGGATCCGCCATACAGCGGTGGTGCTGAGTGGCATTTGCTATGTGCCAGGCATACGACATTTCACCAAAGCTCATAAGAGCTCTCGCAGAAGGTATCGTCCTCCCTAACGTATAAATAAAGAAATGACGTCCAGAGAGGCTATGTGACAAGCCAGAAGCCACACAGCTTGGCAGGTGGGACAAACTTTTCTACCTAACTCCAAAGCCCCGTGTGAAACGACTGCGCTGCACATGGGGGCACATTTAACCCACACACACTTCAGTGTGTCTGCTCAGCAGCAAAAGAGAAAGAAAAGGAACAATGGAGCCCTCAGTGAACAAACATCGGAGGGAGGAGGGAAGTGGGAACTGGGGGCCCCCCTCTTCTCTCAGACCCTGAGAACTATGCACCGCCTGGGCATCTTGCCACTTTAGTCACTAACAGCTAAACTTTTTCAAACACGGTGGGCCTGAGCATGAACCCGTCACTTCATCTGGGCGATCCAACGCTGGAGGGAGAGGTGTCTCGGGTGGAGGCGTGCAGGACAGGCTCAGATACGGGAGCCTTCCCAAAGGAGCTTGCTTTTTCTTTCCCTCCCTCCCTCGCTCCTTTCCTTCCTTCCTTCCTCTTTCCTTTTCTCCTCCTTTCCTCTTCTTTCTTTTAAATAGTAAACAGTCCCATGGTTCAAAACTCCAAACAACATACGAATGCAGAGCATCAAAATCTTGTTACTCACCCATCTGCCCTCTCCCCTCACTCTTCCTCCTCCCCAGATAAACAGTATCGTTCCTCTGATGCAAGCACAAGCAAATGCGAATATCTCTTGCTTCCCCATGCCCCTGCTTGCTAAACAAAATTAAAAAAAAAAAAAAAAAAGGCATTCTACCCACACTCCTAGGCTCCTTGCTTCCTCTCACTTCTCAAGGCATGCCAGAGAATTCTCCTGAGGGATTTTCGAAAGTAGCGTTGACCATGTCTGAGTTTTGTCCCACGTGCTATCCAAGCTCACAACCTCTACTTTTTGTGACTCTGACACAGTGCTCCAGAGGGCTCTGCGGACAGAGCGGAAGAAGCCACTGTCTCTAACAGAGTTTGCTGGGGAGAGTAGGACAAAACAGAGAGAACAAATGAGTCAACCATTGAGGGATGAGTAGGAGTTCGCTGGACAGGAAAGAGAGAGAAGGGCGTTCCCAGTGGCAACATGGGCAAGCATGGTGCTTGTCGGCCAAAGCCTGGGGGGTGCGGGGAGGTACAGGGAGTCCACAAGTGGGGAAAAAAAAACACTGGGGAACATCTCAGAGGGTCTATAACCTCAGCCAAGGCTTTGGTCATCGTCCTCCAGGCACTGGGGAATCCTGAAGAGTTTCTAAGGCAGGGAAGTGATTGGATGAGACGGATGCTCTAGAAAGATCACTGCTGTGAGGTGGAGGTAGGTTGGAGGGAGACCAGTTGGGGGTGGTCACCGAGCGTTGATGGCCAGGACCGGGGGAGGGGGCGTGGAGAAGGATCCCAGGAGGTGGAGGGTGACCACATAACAGGAGGAGACTTTCTAACACGGCACCCTCCAGCCACAGTGACAATATGACAGTGACATTAAAACAGCGCCCATTCCCCAGAACTTACTATGCGTCAGGAGCTGTTCTGGGAATATTCCAGGTACTGACACAAAATGGAGCATTAGCTCCACCTCACGGCTAAGGAAACCCACGCTCGGGAAGACTCAGAGTTTTCTGCCAGGGCTGGCAGCTGCTCACAGTGTGGCTAGGCCCTGGCCACCACTCCACGTGGCCTCCTGAGGTGGGAAGGCCACGCTAAAGGCTCATGTCTGTGCTTACTGATCTGAACGCCCAGCCGGGAGCACCATACCCTTTATGCTTCAGGCCTCACAACTCATTGGCATCCTCCAGACATCTGGGAGAGCCCAAGGGAGGAGGCCGGGAGGAGGCTTGGGCACGATTCTCCTCCCAGGGGCCCATCTCCAGTCTGCAACCTGGGCTGCAGCAGGGGGCTCTGAGGCCCCTTCTGGGAGCATGGGCTTGGGTTTCCCTGTCCCGGCCGGGCATCGCCTGTGGGTACTCGACCTTTCCCACTGGAAACCTCACCTCCAAGCCACATCTGCCAAGTCCGGCTCAGGTCCCCATCCCTGCCAGCTGCCCCATCTGCGGTTTCCACTTCTACCCCTCCCTGAGACCCTCCCCACCATCCCGGAGGTGGCCAGAGCCCCGCGTGGCTGCTCGGCGTGGGCCGCCCTTGGCCTTGGCCCCAGACCCCGGTTCTGGGTTTGTAAAGATGGGATGGAGTCTCCAAAATGGGGAGGAACTGGGGAGACCCATCGAAGAAGGGATGAGTTCAAAGTAGCATCAGTGGAAAGTTCATCTCCCACCACATCCTTCAGCTGTTTACCAGTTTGACGCGGTTCTGGCATCCTGACATGAAAAGAGGCTCACCCCTCACCACCATCATTGAGGAAGGACCAAAATAGCAGCAGAGGAAGATAAAGAAGAGTGCGACAGAGGCAGGGAGGAGAGAGAGGGTGCGTGATGAGACAGGGAGGAAGGTAAGCAGGAGGCAGCATGGTGGTGTGCAGACA